TTTAAATCCTTATTTATATAATTTAAGCCACAGGTTTCCAAGGTTGAGATTGCTGCGTCTCCCTTTTACAAAAATATAAGGATGAAAATTGTAATTCTAATTTTTCTGACAAATAGCTGTCAACTGTCATATTTAAATCATATCATACCAACTGTCATTTGAAAATTAACATATCTAAGAAAGTATTCTAATAGCTAGGTCACTATATCATTACCAACTGTCATTTAAATCTTTATTTATATAATCTAAACCAAAGGTTTCCAAAGTTAAGATTGCTGCGTCTCCCTTTTACAAAAATATAAGGATGAAAATTGTAATTCTAATTTTTCTGACAAATAGCTGTCAACTGTCATATTTAAATCATATCATACCAACTGTCATTTGAAAACTATCATATCTAAGAAAGTATTCTGACAGCTAGGTCACTATATAATTACCAATTGTCATTTAAATCCTTATTTATATAATCTAAACCAAAGGTTTCCAAAGTTGAGATTGCTGCGTCCCCCTTTTACAAAAATATAAGGATGAAAATTGTAATTCTAATTTTACTGACAAATAGCTGTCAACTGTCATATTTAAATCATATCATTACCAACTGTCATTTGAAAACTATCATATCTAAGAAAGTATTCTGACAGCTAGGTCACTATATCATTACCAACTGTCATTTAAATCCTTATTTATATAATTTAAACCAAAGTGATGAAAATTGTAATTCTAATAATTTTTTGATCAATACTAAAAAAAAACTATTTTTCTTTTGATTCATTTTCTACAATTACTTAATATATTCATTAATAAAAGTTTTTTAACCAAATTACTTGAATATGTTATAAAATTGCTTTCAGTTCATCAATTAATTTTTGTTTCATCAAAAACTTGAATATAAATTACGAAATTAACTGCAGTCAACATAATAATAAATCAGCAGACTAGAACTGTCATTTACGTGAATAAGCAAACAATTCCAAGTTGTTGGTGTGATATTTCTCTTGGAAATGATTGTTTGTCTATGGCGGAACACGTAAATACACGGAAGATGTGAATACAGAAAATTTAATAAAAATCTGAGGTCAGATCAAAGTGTGTTTGTTATTCAGAGAAAACAAACTTAATTAAATAAAGAAATATTTGCTTCTGGCTAAGCTACTAGATGCATGCATACAGCATAACATTGGGTTTATTTGCATTGAGAATGTTTATGTTGCAGCCGGGCGCGATAATATTTGTCGTCGTAATTTATCCGTCGATCTTCAATTGGGGGAGAAGAGAAAGATAGACACGGAAAGAAATAGAGAGAAAGAGAGAGAGAGAGGAGCCTGTTTATTGTTGTGCATGCCTCAAAGACCTTGGGATCAATAACGACATCAACTGATGCAAGTCTGTGCTTCTTCTTTATTTGTTTGCGCTTCTAATGCACGCCACGATTAATAAAAAAAAAAGTTTATTTCTCTGGGCAGCGCATAAATCTAATAATACGACGGAGCAGATCAATTAAGAATACTTAATAGTATCGATGTCGTGATTGTACGGAATGCATTCAATCTGCTTTAATTGGTCGAGATGTAATTGAATCGAGACAGCTGATTGGGTACAAACAATCCAAAGTTGTATTTAAATTGACGTATACGTCAAATTTGTTGACAGTTGTAATTGAGTACAAACAATGGAAAGTTGTATTTAAATTGACAGTTACGTCAAATTTGTTGACAGATATTCTAATGCCACGATTATTATAATTTTACTAATTTGTTCGTTAGGTAATGATTAAATCTAATAATAAGAGAAAACGTATTAATTAAGAATAAATGTTATTATCATTGATAAACTTTGTATTGTATTTGGATGGGACGTAATTGAATCAAGACAGCTGATTGGGTACAAACAATCGAAAGTTGTATTTAAATTGACGTATACGTCAAATTCGTTGACAGTTGTAATTGAGTACAAACAATGGAATATTGTATTTAAATTGACAGTTACGTCAAATTTGTTGACAGTTATTCTAGTGTCACGATAATTATAAATATTTAATTAGTTCGGTAATGCTTAAATCTAATAATATGTCGAAGCATATTAATTAAGAATTAATGTAATTATCATTAATAAGAGTTGAGTTGCGTTGAATTCGAATAGATGTAATTGAATCGAGATTGAATGGGTACAAACAATCGAAAGTTGTATTTAAATTGACGTATACGTCAAATTTGTTGACAGTTGTAATTGAGTATAAACAATGGAAAATTGTATTTAAATTGACATTTATGTCAAATTTGTTGACAGTTATTCTTATGCCACGATTATAATAATTTTATTAATTTGTTCAGTAGTGATTAAATCTAATAATAAGTCGAAGCGTATTAATTAAGAAGTAATGTTATTATCATTAATAAGAGTTGAGTTGTGTTGAATTCGAATAGATGTAATTGCATCGAGACAGCTGATTGAGTACAAACAATCGAAAGTATTTAAATTTACAGTTACGTCAAATTTGTTGACAGATATTCTAATGCCAAGATTATTATATTTTTTTCGGTAATGATTAAATTTAATAATAAGAGAAAGCGTATGAATTAAGACTGACTGTTATTATCATTGATAAACTTTGTATTGTATTTGGATGGGAGGTAATTGAATCAAGACAGCTGATAAAGTATTATAAACAATTGAAAGTTGTATTTAAATTGACATATACGTCAAATTTGTTGACAGTTATAATTGAGTACAAACAATGGAAAGTTTTATTTAAATTGACATTTACGTCAAATTTGTTGACAGTTATTCCAATGCCACGATTATTATAATTTTATTAATTTGTTCGGTAATGCTTAAATAAAATAATAAGTCGTAAACTTTGTATTGTATTTGGATGGAAGGTAATTGAATCAAGACAGCTGATTAAGTATTATAAACAATCGAGATTTGTATTTAAATTGACAGTAACGTCAAATTTGTTGACAGTTATTCTTATGCCACGATTATAATAATTTTATTAATTTGTTCAGTAGTGATTAAATCTAATAATAAGTCGAAACATATTAATTAAGAATTTATGTAATTATCATTAATAAGAGTTGAGTTGCGTTGAATTCGAATAGATGTAATTGAACGACACAGCTGATTGAGTACAAACAATCAAAAGTATTTAAATTGACATTTATGTCAAATTTTTTGACAGTTGTAATTGAGTACAAACAATGGAAAATTGTATTGTATTTGGATGGGAGGTAATTGAATCAAGACAGCTGATTGGGTATAAACAATCGAAAGTTGTATTTAAATTGACATATAGGTCAAATTTGTTGACAGTTGTAATTGACTATAAACAATGGAAAATTGTATTTAAGTTGACATTTATGTCAAATTTGTTGACAGTTATTCTTATGCCACGATTATAATAATTTTATTAATTTGTTCAGTAGTGATTAAATCTAATAATAAGTCGAAGCGTATTAATTAAGAAGTAATGTTATTATCATTAATAAGAGTTGAGTTGTGTTGAATTCGAATAGATGTAATTGCATCGAGACAGCTGATTGAGTACAAACAATCGAAAGTATTTAAATTTACAGTTACGTCAAATTTGTTGACAGGTATTCTAATGCCAAGATTATTATAATTTTTTCGGTAATGATTAAATTTAATAATAAGAGAAAGCGTATGAATTAAGACTGACTGTTATTATCATTGATAAACTTTGTATTGTATTTAGATGGGAGGTAATTGAATCAAGACAGCTGATAAAGTATTATAAACAATCGAAAGTTGTATTTAAATTGACATATACGTCAAATTTGTTGACAGTTATAATTGAGTACAAACAATGGAAAGTTTTATTTAAATTGACAATTATGTCAAATATGTTGACAGTTATTCTAGTGTCACGATAATTATAAATATTTAATTTGTTCGGTAATGCATAAATCTAATAATAAGACGAAGCGTATTAATTAAGAAGTAATGTTATTATCATTGATAAACCTTGAGTTGCGTTGAATTGGACGGGAGGATCGAAACAGCTGATTGGGTACAAACAATCAAAAGTATTCAAATTGACAGTTACGTCAAATTTGTTGACAGTTATTCTAATGCCACAATTATAATAATTTTACTAATTTGTTCAGTATTGATTAAATCTAATAATAAGAGAAAGCGTATTAATTAAGAATGAATGTTATTATCATTGATAAACTTTGTATTGTATTTGGATGGGAGGTAATTGAATCAATACAGCTGATCAAGTATATAAACAATCAAAAGTTCTATTTAAATTGACATATACGTCAAATTTGTTGACAGTTGTAATTGAGTACAAACAATGGAAAGTTGTATTTAAATTGACATTTACGTCAAATTTGTTGACAGTTATTCCAATGCCACGATTATTATAATTTTATTAATTTGTTTGGTAATGCTTAAATAAAATAATAAGTTGTAAACTTTGTCTTGTATTTGGATGGAAGGTAATTGAATCAAGACAGCTGATTAAGTATTATAAACAATCGAGAGTTGTATTTAAATTGACAGTAACGTCAAATTTGTTGACAGTTATTCTAACGGCACGATTATTATAATTTTATTAATTTATTCGGTAATGCTTAAATCTGATAATAAGTCGAAGCGTATTAATTAAGAAGTAATGTTATTATCATTAATAAGAGTTGAGTTGCGTTGAATTCGAATAGATGTAATTGAATCGAAACAGCTGATTGGGTACAAACAATCAAAAGTATTTAAATTGACATTTACGTCAAATTTGTTGACAGTTATTCTAATGGCACGATTATTATAATTTTATTAATTTTTTCTAATAATAAGTCGAAGCGTATTAATTAAGAATGAATGTTATTATCATTGATTAACTTTGTATTATATTTGGATGGAAAGTAATTGAATCAAGACAGCTGATCAAGTATTATAAACAATCGAAAGTTGTATTTAAATGGACGTTTACGTCAAATTTGTTGACAGTTATCTTAATTGGTTTGCGGACGCACCTTTATCCTGGAAGAGCTGCTGGTAATTGGAGAGGTGGTTCTCGTCCAGCCAGAGGGCGACTTCGTGTCCGCCGTTCGCGGTCTTCAACGGTAACGCCCACAACCACACGGCCAACCTCATCAGGCATATCGCACTTGCCAGGAGCAGCGAGGAGAGAAGGACCACTTTGGCACCGCACCGCGACATCATCAACTTCTACCATCCAGAAACCATCACTTAACCATCATCGCTTATTCCTTCCTAATAATCCCCCTAAGCGAACCGGCGGCGTCCGGCACACATTTTTTCACGCACCCTGCCTGTCACCTGTCATTTGACGGAGGCGTTTTACACCACCACGGATGGCGCTGCAAACCACGCACACAATTATGCAACCAATACAACTTGCAACGCAAATAAAACTAACAACATTCCACACCAAGAGAAAAAAAAACACTGATTATTAAAAAACAATCGTTATTTGAAACAAGATTGAAGTGCTGCCATCTAACAGTCGCGGTAAATATTAAATTTTGAAAGAGCGTCTCCATTGATTGATTGGATACAAACAAATAGTTGTTTGTAATCAGAAAGAATGGAACGCAAAGATGCGAGGATCGTCAGCGAAAAGGAATCCCCGTATTCGGGTTACGTTATCATGGAGGATCTTGCGGAGAAGCTGAAGAATTTGGGTTACGATCGTGAATCGCCGAAGATGAAACCCATCCACAAGTAAATTAACCTTCTAATTATCTCAACATCATTAATTACATTCGATTAACTTGCAGGCATTACTTCATGGTGCAGAAGAACCCAGGGGAGCAGTTCTATTTGTTCTCCTCGTTGGCGGCGTGGCTGATCAGGAAAAGCGGGAAGAGTTTCGAGCAGCCCCAGGAGTTCGACGATCCGAACACCACGATTGCCAACATCCTGGACGTCGTCAGAAACGATGTGAGTTTACAATCAGTTTTATTTGATTTAGATAATATTATGGTTTTTATATTGAAGGGTTTAGTATTGGAATTTGCGCCTAATAAACTGAAGCAAGGATACGGAGATCACGTTGTCTTCATTTTGGATCATCTGGCTGACGTCGCTTTGGAACACGAAGGATTCCAATGGAAAAGAGCTAAACCTTCTGCGGAAACCGAAGAGGAAGCCGAGATGATCGAGGATGAATCCGAGTTGGTTTTGGATCGCGTCGAGGAGGAGATGATGGCCTATTATTCCGACGACGAAGATGATCCGTACGTCTTCAACGTGGATGCGGCGCCCGCAAAGAAATCCGAAGTCTTTGAAATCAACACGAATATTAACGAGGAGGAATGGAAATTGGAGTTGGAGCGAGTGTTACCGCAACTTAAGGTTACCATCAGCAACAGCAGTAGAGATTGGAGGTCGCATTTAGATCAGATGAAGCAGTACCGTACCACGATTGATCAGACGTTCTTCAGCACGAAGAACAATTTGGATAAGTTGCACAAGAATATCTCAGTGGCCGTGGAAAAAATCGGCAATCGCGAGAAGTATCTGAATAGGGAATTGGACGCCGTTCTGGACGAGTACAGGTTGCTTCAAGATCAATTATCGAAGGTGACGGATAATTACAGGAACATTAGCGGCGGAGTGACGGAGAGGAATCGGGATTTGGAGCAGCTCTCTGTTCGGTTGGAGTCTGTGAAACAGGAGATGGAGCAGAGGGGAAGTTCAATGACAGATGGAAGTCAGCTTTTGTTTAATTGCCGTGTTTTTTGTTTTTGATTAATTTTTGTTTTTGTTTTTCAGCGCCTCTCGTTAAAATAAAGAAGGGGATCAGCCAGATTAAAGCGCAGATTACGAAGATGGATATACGCATCGGCGTTTTGCAATGTTTGCTTTTGCAGTCGAAAATCCAGGAGAAAAAGTTGCTGGAGGACGATCTCGGACAAACGATTCATGCGTTTTGATAATTGTAATTTTGTAATTTATTAATTTTAAGAGTGACACGGTTTCAAATCTGAACAACATTATCAATTTCATGATATATTCTAGTTGAAATAAATCAAAGGAGGCATGGAAACAAAAGTAGCCAATCTCGATGAGTTTGTAGAAACGACCAATCAAAATGCGAAGTGTATGCAGTGTAAATAAATAAAATAACCAATCAGGAACTACAGAAGAAGAAAAAATAACAATCCCAACTACGAATAAAGATAGGAAAGGAAACAACCAATTATAATGGCAATAGTTTTTGTTTGCGTCTATGGAAATTTTGGTAAACACAAAAAATACAATGAAAGATAATAAATCAGCAGCCAATAAAAACTGACGAATTACAGAAGTTGTAAAAAAAGGGACAACCAATGCGTGCAAAGATAAATAAACAACCAATAAAAAAACAGTTGAATGCTACCAATAACCTTAGAGTAAATTGAGATTGGTATATGAATTGTCGAATAATGGGCGTTTCTATTATATATTATGTTAGTTTCTTTAATTTTTATAAAATCAATTAAATATAAAGTTGGTAATTGGTAATCAAATTATGATTGTGAATACTAAAATTGTATGTGTGGTTGCATATGTTGCGTGATTGCGTGTTCGTTTCAGAATTGCGTAATATCAATAATTGGATTAAATTCGATTAATTCAAATCTGCGATCGAATAATTCATTTGTGATGTTTTTAATTACAAATTTGTTTGTTTCTTGTTGGTGATGTTGAGGTTTCGGCGGATGGATTTTGCGCCATCTGTGAGGTGACGTTTCGGTTTTTTTTTGTTTTTTGGTGCGAGTACAGAACAGCGATCGCGCCGGGTCCCAGGAGCAGGATTAATGAGCCGAGTGTCGACATCGTCGGCAGAAGTCGGGTCGGTGTGGAGCGGATAGGTGTAAAACGTGCAGAGAAACGACCGACAAAATGGTACCGTCTGACCGGCCGAAACGGTGGGCCGATAAGCTTCGTCGCGAGGAGTAAGGAGGGTTGTTTGCTATCACAGCAGGGATACCACATAAATCCCCCTAGGCGGGAATAAAGACAGAGATAGATAGATATAGAGTGATAGAGACGGAGAGTGCGTGCTGGCGAGAGAAGGAAGGAGACGGAGATAGGGGGTTGATATAGGTGGTGTGCGCGCCGGTTTTGTGTGTGTGAGTGAGAGAGATAGGGAGGCTGGAAGTTGAGGTTTCTCCCCCCAGGTGGACTGAAAGGGGGGTTGGTCGGGTGTCGGTTGTTGCGTTCGCACAGGTGATTCCGCGACGGTGCAGAGAGCGGCGAAGAGAGGAGTGAGAGCAGCAGAGGTGCGGGTGGTACAACTAGCAGGAGGCAGCAGCAAGCAAGCAGAAGGGGACAAGTGTCGCGATCTTCGATATGCAAGTGTCGTTGTTTATTGTTTGTTGGCGAAAACTGTAGTCGGGTCGGGTCGGATCCGGGATCCGGAGAACAAGGGTTCGAAATAAGAAGGGTTCGTATCACAGTCAATCTGCCAGAGTCGGTGTCGAAGGAGAGAACGATGTCGGGTCGAACGAGCACCAGCAGCGGTTCCGCGGCGGCGGCAGCAGCAGCAGCCGCCTCCTCCTCCTCCACCGGCCCATGGGGTGCAGCTGCAGGGAACGCCGTCTCGCTGCGATCCTTGGAGGTGCCGCAACCCCTGCAGGACGGAGAGAAGTTCATCAAATGGGACGAGGTGAGAGCAAGCGACTGAGATGCGTCGTCCCGGGGATGACAACCGCCTCCCTCGACGCTCATTACATAATAATTACGTGCATTACTCTTGGCCTACCCCCCTCGTTTAGGGTTGCCAACCTGCTCTCATAATAATCCATCCCCCTCCTCCACACACACACATACACGCAACTTTATCAGCATCCACAATACCGCGATAACCAATCAAATCAGGAAATCGCTGCAGGATTTACAACTACTACACAATGTTATCGATAATCACCACTTATCTAACAAATAACTACTCGATCCGCAAATGTTATTAATGCAAATAATAAATATTTATTAAGTCACTTCCTCTCAAATAGGAAAAACAAAATTAAGACATTTCCTTAATTTGATAACAAATGAAACACATATTTACTAAATTTTAATTAATAAATAGTTCAAATGATTATTTCGTTTGATACAAAATTACATTTTGTATAGAAATGTCCGAAGAATCGTCATCCGGTAGTTCAAATGATTAATTAATTTAGTACAAAATTGTACATAAATATGAACTAAATTTCAATCAACAAATTAATCTTTGTTTGAATACATTTTTGTTGAAATATTTAATTTATTTAGTCTAAAATTAAACATAAATCCAAATTACATTTTAGTCAATATATTAATCTCTTTTAATACAATATTGTTAATATTTTGGATAGAAATGTCAGAAGAATTTTCATTCAGTAGTTCAAATGATCAATTAATTTAGTACAAAATTGAACAGAAATACGAACTAAATTTCAATCAACAAATTAATCTTTATTTAAATACATTTTTGTTAATATTTCGAATATAAATATCAGAAAAAAACTTCATCCGGTAGTTCAAATGATTAATGTATTTAGTCTAAAATTAAACATAAATCAGAATTAAATTTTAGTCAATATATTTCTTTTTTAATACAATTTTGTTAACATTTTGTATAGAAATGTCCGAAGAATCGTCATCCGGTAGTTCAAATGATCAATTAATTTAGTACAAAATTGAACATAAATACGAACTAAATTTCAATCAACAAATTAATCTTTGTTTAATTACATTTTGGATAGAAATATCCCAAAGCTTTTTATCTATTACTTCAAATGTTTAATTTATTTAGTCTAAAATTAAACATAAATCAGAATTAAATTTTAGTCAATACATTATTTTTTTTAATACAATTTTGTTAACATTTTGGATAGAAATATCCGAAGAATTTGCATCCAGTAGTTCAAATGATCAATTAATTTAGTACAAAATTGAACATAAATACGAACTAAATTTCAATCAACAAATTAATCTTTGTTTAAATATATTTTTGTTAATATTATCCGAATTAAATTTTAGTCAACATATATTAATCTTTTTTTTAATACATTTTTGTTAATATTTTGGATAGAAATATTCCAAAGCTTTTCATCAAGTAGTTCAAATGTTTAATTCATTTAGTCTAAAATTAAACATAAATCCGAATTAAATTTTAGTTAACATATATTAATCTTTTTTTTAATACAATTTTGTTAAAATTTTGGATAGAAATATCCCAAAGCTTTTTATATCTATTTGTTCAAATGTTTAATTTATTTGGTCAAAAATTAAACATAAATACGTATTAAATTTTAGTCAACATATTAATCTCTGTTTTTAATACAATTTTGTTAACATTTTGGATAGAAATATCAGAAAAAGTTTTAATCTAGTAGTTCAAATGATTCATTAATTAGTTTTAAAATTGAACATAAATGCGAAATAAATTTCAGTCAACAAACTAATCTTTGTTTGAATACATTTTTGTTAAAATTTTGGGTAGAAATATAAGAAAAAAATTCATTCAGTAGTTCAAATGATTAATTTCAAAAACATAAATCCGAACTAAATTACAGTCAACAAATTAATATTTGTTTAAATAGATTTTTGTTAATATTTTGGATCGAAATATCAGAATAGTTTTCATCTAGTAGGTCAAATGATTTATTAATTAGTTTTAAAATTGAACGTAAATTCGAATTCATTTCATTTTTTCGTTAAAACGGTCTAAATTTAATTAATTTTATTCTCACAGAACAATTGTTAAGCTTATTTACACTAATTTAATAATTAATTATATATTTATTTTAAAGAACAATGGAAAATCCTGAAATTTCACAAATTTCATTTAGTAAATCAATTTAAAGACGAGGAATACTGCACAAGAGTTACATTTCTTAATTAAAATTCAATTAGTTTTGTGGAAGCAGCGAGAACAATATATTATACATTGTATTTCGTAAATTGTTCGAAAAAAAAACAGTTTGGTAAAAGTTTCTTGAGTATGGTACATGGAGGAACACTGAGCTTGTAAAAAGCAATTACGCGCAGAACGAAAACGAGGAAAACTTACAAGAACTACATTCGATGCATCCAATCATCGAGTAATTGAGTGCGAGTGTTTCAGAATGTTAATAAGGGTCTTCTCGCAATGAAACCCGTGTATATGCGCCATAAACGTGCAGTTAAGATTCACGTTTATTGACGCAATTCGCTTCAGGAAATTTCAGTGATTTTACAAGCCAATTTATTAATCATATTTGTATGAATATACTATAAATAAGTTAATTTCATAAAATATGGGTATACAAATTTGTTAGTCTCATATTCTTTGTACGATCGATTTTCTGTCGAATAACTTGTTGTAATTGACGTGCACATGGGTGAGGGGGGGATGGAGGGTGAGCGGTGGTTGGAACATAAAGTCGTAGATGTGCTGACAATTAATCAATTTTCAGCAGAAGCTCTGCGCCCACATTACAACGAATTACGGTTTCGTTTAAAGCCAAGAAATATCAATCCGTGTCTCCTCGTAATTGCCTATTACATCCGGCTGTCTTCATCGCCTAATTAACATGTCTACAACATTGTCATCTGCACGTTCTTGTTGCATCGAGCATAGATGAGATAGACAGAAATAATACGTTAAGTCTACATGATTTATTCGGATTGCGGACATAATTCAGTTCGCGAGATAAAACATTTAATTAATATTCTCTTAATTAGAATTATTTAGGGAAAAAACACGCATTTATTAGATTATTGAACGCATACAATATTGAAATATAATCTGTATTTGTTTTTTTGTTAGGTACGTACACACTACTTTCAAATACATAATTAATTGGAAGCAAGTAAATGTAATTTGTTTTTTTTTTTTAAGTTGGTACACTTTGGTACAATAATATGTTGGTACAATAATATGTAATTACGTAACTTGAAAAGTATGTCACTTGTCAAACACAACTGCACATACACAACTAATCATAAGGAACTAATTTTGGTGTAATTAATTATTTAAGTTTGGTATTATTATTTCAGATGCTAATTTAAGGATTTACTGTCAACACATTGATCATATTTCATGTTTTAAATCAATTTGACACATAAGTAATTAATGACAGCTGTCATTTAAAATTTACTGTCAAAACTGTCATTTGTTAATAGAAGGTGCATGAAACTCACATATTATTATTTGTTTAAACTCTTTGTGATTAAAATAATTGTAATTAAGAATTTTTACAATTCTTATTACTTTTACTATTAATTGAAACACTAAAATTTTAATTTTTTGAATAATAATGACACATGGGCATATTAAAATTTATTTGTTTTAATAAACTAAACTTTGATTTCGTGTGTCATTTTTATTAAGGCATTAACTTTTGAAATAAATTTTCAAAATCTCAATAATTATTTGTCTACATTTTTTATGAGAAATAAACAAAGCAGGAAAAACTGGTTCAGGTGTTAAAATTTTATACTATCAAGCAACAGTAGATAAACAAATTATTACTGACATTTATTTATAAACGTTATAATTATTGGAAAATTTTACGTGACTAGATCAAGTTTAATCAATTCAAATTGAACCTAACCTTATGTAATTTTCCATTTTATGTTGACAAATGAAGCCACAATTTGAACTTAACCTTAAGTTAAACTTCAATGCAAGTTTAACCAATCTAACCTAACTTTTATTATGTTTTGATAAGTATCGTGTAACATTTAGGACAATTACATAAATACGAAATTCTACTTGAACATATGGGTGTAGGAAAATGAACATTTTATTTGATTGTTTGTTAAAGATATTACTTGGCAAGTACCGCGTAGTTAGCAGTGAATAGAGATAAAGAATGTATTTTTCTTCTTGAAATTTAAATGTAAGATTGGTAACCGCATGTAAAACAGCCTTAACTGCTCCATTTATTGCCGTTGCGATATTTCGTCTCGCGTTCGCAGGTAGAATGTTATGTGTAGAGTAGGAGAAACATCCACTTGTTCTCTGTTTTCCTTCCTTACTTTCTTTCCTTGGGAATGCATAATTCATTTTGGGAATTAATTCGCGGAGAGTGGATAGACGCAACAGTTTTCGGAATGAAAATATTTCCGGCGATGGAAAACGAGCGAGCCTACAAAACCAAACCCCTCATATTCTTCGTCTTCGGCTGAGTAATGGGAAACGTATTCAAATTGAAATTTTCAGCGCGGCGCGAGTCTAGTTTGCGTTTCGACAAGGATGGCAGCAACAAGCCCTTAAAAAAAAGACCACCCTTTACTCTTCCTCCTTCTCTACATTCTCCCTCCCC